GCGTCATTAATTCCCTCCTGATTGCCTTCATGGCAGCTCTGACATTAACTGGGTCTGGAACTGATTAGGTTTCAGTTTGCTTCAGAACCGGTTCTGCCTGGCTGTGAAACTTCGATCCATCACCCAGATTGTAATTGAACCCAGATGAGGTGGAACCGAGCAGGTCTGCAGCTAAAGAGCAGCTGCTTGATGAATGAATCAGAGCTAAATGGGATCTGGTACCACCTGATGCCGTCACAGGCTGGACTGGACCGACCGAACCGAACCAGCTTTTCAGCCGTGAGCTTTCAGAGCACACAGCCTGGATTGGGGAACCAAAGAAACGTTCAATAAGCAGATGGCCTGGAACCAGAATGAGCTCCTCAACTGGTTCTGGACCAGATCTGCTGGTTCTCTGGTGTCTGGTTTCTCCAAGACTGTTCTGCAGCAGTGGGTCGGCTGGTACCGTCCAGCTTGTCCCTGATGGACAGAAAGGAGCAGGGTCTTTAACCGTGTCTCCGTGTCCACCAGACATCTGTCCTCCGTCCTGCGGAACAAGTTTGACCACGGAGCGGAGAGCGTGATGCCAACTCTGCTCAACCTGGTATCAAACAGCGCCAAGGTCATGGCCACGTCCGGAGCGGCCGCCATCCGCCTCATTCTCAGGGTGAGACTCCGCCCCAGCGGGACGTCTCAGTCCTTTCAAGGGACGTGGACATTAACACCTGTGGTTTTCTTCCAGCACACCCACTACCCTCGCCTCATCCCCATCATCACCAGCAACTGCAGCTCCAAGTCTGTGGCTGTCAGGAGGTAAGAGCTTCTCCACAGCCTGTCCCTGGTATCCGTGGAAACCAGGCAAAAGTTTCCATGGATACCAGGGACAGAGTTTAAAATAGGAGGAATGGCTTTTCAGTCTTACTGGAAGCTTCATTCAGACACCAACTTCAGCTCCTGGTGGCGTCAGGCTGCAGTAAGCAGAACATCCATCAATGCGTCTGAGTTCAACCATCATAATGTTTCCTTTGAAGAAGAAAGTACAAGTCGCAGGCATGCTAGCTGTTAGCATATAGTAGCTGCTAATGCTAGCATAGCTGTGTTACTGGAGAGCAGAGTGGTCACAAACATCTGCAGCCGTCAGCAGTAAGAGCATTGTATGGTTTCTGAGATGGGGGATGCTGCTCTGCTCTCACTGCTGTTAACTCTCATTCATCTTATGTGTCTGCGGTGAAGATAAAAGGAAGTTACGTTTTTGAAATTTTGACCAAGACTGGAACTGGTCCAACATGGCCGCTCTTGCTCTTCTCTTCTTCTGTGCTAACAGGCGCTGCTATGAGTTCCTGGACCTCCTGCTGCAGGAGTGGCACACGGCGACCCTGGAGAGGTGAGTTCTGCCTCGGCTACGGGACCAGGGCTGCATGGATGGGGATGGGGGAGAGGAAGGGGGTCTGAGTGGAGGGGAGGGGGGAAGCTTGTACCGCCCCCCTCCCTCCCATGGTGACATTTGAGGCGGCTAGGCGTCGGCTCGCTAAGCTCCTGATGAGCCGAGGTGATCGATGGATGCCGGGTGAGTCTTCATCATCTTCCAGCCGTGAGACGGCTTCCACTCCTGTAACCATGGCCACGGGAGGGGAGGCATTAAAAGCGGGAGGGAACCCCAGGGAGCGAGCTCATTCCTCGAGTGTCGCCGTGGGAACCAGCAGCACCCGTCTCCCTGTCCTCATGTTTCCGTCTCGCCCCAGACACGTGGCCGTCCTCACCGAGACCGTCCGGAAGGGAATCCACGACGCCGACTCCGAGGCCCGCTCCATCGCCAGGAAGTACGCGTCTCTGCCTCATACTGCGATGCCAGTGGCGGGAGCGACCTCCGACTCACCTGTCTGTCCCGTCGCAGGTGCTACTGGGGTTTCCATGGCCACTACAGCCGGGAGGCGGAGCTTCTGTTCCAGGCGCTGGAAGCCACCTATCAGAAGGCGCTGCAGTCGCACCTGAAGAGCTCCGACAGCATCGTGTCGCTGCCGCAGTCCGACCGCTCCTCCTCATCCTCGCAGGAGAGCCTCAAGTAAGACCCGGAGGTTCTGGATCTGGTTCTGCTAGCCTTCCTGCAGGATGACTCCAGAACGTTCTCTGCTTTGTTCCAGCCGACCTCTGTCTGTGAAGAGCGTCATCGGAGGCAGCATTACCAGAAGTAAGTGTGTTTGAGCCGAGCCCGTCCAGAACCGTGTCGGGTCCAGAGGGCTCCGGTCCAGTGTCTCCTATCTGTCCCCGTCCAGGTAAGCTGGCGGGCTCCAGGGCGTCGGCCGCGCCGGGCTCCCTGCAGCGTTCCCGTAGCGACATCGACGTCAACGCCGCCTCCAGCGCCAGGTCCCGCCTGGGAGGCGTCCCGGCCTCCTCGCCTTTCGGCGCCGCCGCCGCCCTGCCCCCGGGGTCCTACGCCTCGCTAGGTAATCCCGTCCTGCTGTGCAAAAGTAACGGGTCGGACTGACTGACTGATTTAAAGGTTTTCCAGAGGATGGATCGCTCACATTTATTCCAAACTGATCATTATTTCAGTAATTGATTATTCTGACAATTCTTGAGACAATTATTTGAAACCATTAACACAATAAAAAAATGTTTTTTCCTTTAACCCCGTAAGCCAAGTGCACGAGAAATACAGTAAAAGATAGAGATAAATAATTTAACTATTTAAATCAGAAAATGTAGTCAATATCAGCATTCCTTTAGTGAATGTTTGATCATTTGCAGCAAAGGGTGCATCTGCAGCTGAAAATCAGAACCACTCAGGCCGTCCTGAACATCGGCTCAGCGAATGGCTGATCTGGAAATCAGTTATTGGTTAATAGCTGATTAATGGGAGACTTTTCCAGAACCAAGTGAAGCTAAAGCTGCTGTTAGAGGAGTTTGGTTGGAACAGATTTACGCAGAATGTTTTATCTTAAATGCAAAATGTTTGTGTTGTTTTGTCCAGGTTTGGTTTAATTACGGCTCCGACAGTTTAATCAGTTGATGATTATTTCAACAACCGATTAATCGTTGCAGCCCTCCTTTATTCCAGCTCTGCCGCAGAACTTCATGATGCCGCTCAGAGCGAGTACAGCATGAGCCAAAAGTGTTCTGACCTTTGACCCTGGACAGCATTCTTGTCAGTAGGATGGTCTGATCAGGGCTGGGCCAGTGATTGATTTTAGTCCTTAATCAGAGACTACATTTTTGGACAGTCTGTTTTTTTTTCTCTCTCCTTTGTCCTTCTTGGGCTTCTGTAGTGAAGGGTTATGTCAGCCCAGGGCAGCCATCTTGTTTTGCAGAAAGGGAGGATTGAAAGGAAAGTTTGGAAAATAATTCAAGTCCACCTGGCTGGAGTGAAGGGGCGGGACGAACCGCCGTCAGTCTCAGACCTTATTTGGAAATGGGACCATTGCACTCCGGAAGTGAAGGGGGCGCTATTTCCTATATTATCTGTGGTCTCCTGTTTTTATTTTCTTATGAAATCTGTGACATATCTTCATCTTTAGGAAAGAGTTTCACTCTCAGTATGTATTTGGATTTCTCTCTTATTTACTTCAGCACAGCTCACAGCTTTTAACTTTAGCCTGGAGATGCTAACACAACTAATATAATTACATCACTAATTGAGAATAGCACAAAGTTTTTATTATTTACTATTAATTCCAGCATTACTGGCACCGTAAAAGATCAATTCTCTAATAAAACACCATAACTTTTTATTTTCTTAACAATGTAGAGCTAATTAAATGACCTGAACAAGACATTTATACATTATAAGTAATACCCTCATCAGTTATAGGAGGAATAAAAGAAATAAGGAGACATGAAAAACAACATGATAAACTAGAAAGAAAACCATTTACAATGTATAAGTAAGAAACTTAATTGAGCAAAAGTCAATAACGAACAAATGAATTAGGTTCACAGAAGAAAAACAAATCTGGTTGTTACAACCAGGGTTGTAAAAATTAGACAAGTAAATGGACAAGTAAAACGTCACAGTTTTGCTTTTACTGAGCCATATATGTTATTCTGAGAGACTTTTTGTTGGTAGTCTTATGCATAGGAAAAAAATAGATGAAAACACCATTTAATCTATGATGGGGAAATTTTCCTTCAACTGTAAAGTTCCCCTGGTTCCTCCTGGTTCCCTCCTGGTTCTTATTGGTTCCTCCTGGTTCCCCTGGTTCCTTTATATCTCCAGGAGGAACCTAGTTCCCCTGGTTCCTCCTGGTCCTTATTGGTTCCTCTTGGTTCCCCTGGTTCCTCCTGGTCCTTATTGGTTCTTCCTGGTTCCTCCTGATTCCTCTTGGTTCCCCTGGTTCCTCCTGGTCCTTACTGGTTCCTCTTGTTTCCCCTGGTTCCTCCTGGTTCCCTCCTGGTTCTTATTGGTTCCTCCTGGTTCCCCTGGTTCCTTTATATCTCCAGGAGGAACCTAGTTCCCCTGGTTCCTCCTGGTCCTTATTGGTTCCTCCTGGTTCCTCCTGATTCCTCTTGGTTCCCCTGGTTCCTCCTGGTCCTTATTGGTTCTTCCTGGTTCCTCCTGATTCCTCTTGGTTCCCCTGGTTCCTCCTGGTC